GGAGTGAACGTGTGGTCCCAGGTCGGGGGTGCTGCCATGCACAAGCTGTTTGAGCGCAAAACACCCCGATCTTCTTTTCCCAGATCAAATCTGTTCTGGTTGTGTTTCAGGGGCCGCTGGATCCAGCCCCTCTCCAGGAGGCTCCCACAGCCAGCTGTTGGGAGAAAGAGAGACAGCGAGAGCCAGTGACAGACAGAGACATGGAGAGAGATTGAGAGCCTCAGAGACAGCATTGGGAGAGAGGAAGGGGGACCTTGAGAAAGCAAGCTGGTTTGTGTGCGGGGAAGGGAAGCTCTTGTTACTGGTGATATTAGCTGGGGCTCTCCTTCCTGCGTCTATGATGACAGTTTCCAGGGCAGGAGTGGTGGTGGGCTGGGACCTGCAGGTTTTCCTGAATTCAAACCCCGATTTTAATCTTGAGAGACTGGTTTCCTGTGAGCCCAAAGTGGCTTCTCCTTTAAGCAGGGGTCAGCCTAAGCTTGCTCCCATTTTTGTTGTTTTTGTTTGCCACTTGTCCCTGAAAATCAGAGCCTCAGACCCATGTCCACACCGACTTTACAGATGGAGAAACTGAGGCTGCCCAAGGGTTCACCACATTCACTGAGTCAGGTGCTGGGCCAGTGCAATACTCCAGGAACAGCCCATCCCTCTCCCTTCACTACCTACCTCCTGCCCAGCCCCTCAGTCCCCTCACCTGCCTCTATGCAGGGACATCCAGGCCCCACCACCAGGGAAGTTTCCACTCACCTGAATGCCGGCAGCCGGAGCAGGAGGGCCTGAGTGCGCCTGCAGAGTCTGGAGCTCCTTCAACTTCACGACTAATTGCAGAGAGGCAGTGGGCGGGCTCTTGGCAAGCGATTAACTGTCCCACGGCATGAATAATTTGCATAGAAAATGCTTTATTTTGGCAATCTATTAAAGGGCCCACAGTGCGGTGGCTTATCTCAGTCTCACAGCACGGGGAAGGCTTGGCTATCTCGTTAAGTTCTGTTGATGCATAACAATTTGAAATGGGCACAAGCTACTATGACATTTAAAGATGCCTTCACTTAATTATATTACACAAACAAGGAGCTGTTTATCCTTGGGAATAAAGTCTTTTTGAAGTCAAAGTTGGCATGTGCATAAAGGAAGGCATTTTAACTGATTTTTCAAGAGGGGGGCCTCCTCACTTTAAACTTGGCGGAGGGGGGGGGGGCATTTCCCTAGGGCCTCGTAACACAGAGGGTTCCATGGCTGAGATGCAAACTTTAAGATTGGCTCCCTTGTTCTTCTTCTTCTCTGGGGGTGGCCTACAGATTGGCACTTAGCACAAAATTGTGGAAAGAAAAGCTTATTAGAGCGAGGAAAAGAGACTCGCTGTGTGACCTTGGGTGAGCCCCTCCCCTTCTCTGAGCCTCCCTTGCTTCCTGAGCAACACGTGGGTGGGGCTTTCCTGCTCTGAGTCAATGGCTGGCGAACCACAGTGTATTTCTGCTTTCTCTTCGCCACGCAGCTTGTTGGCACCACAGATAAAAGTACTGTCTCCTTGTTAAAAGCCAAAGGAAATTCAGGGTCCCCATCAGTACTCGTCTTGGAACTGGAAACATGCTGCGGGAGGGAGATGAGAGCAGAGAGGAAGGGGCTTGCAGCTGCTGCAGGTATTGGTACCGTTTGGCTCTGCCAAGCCGCAGGCCCCAGGAGACTACAGAGCTAGCAGCCTTGCCTCACCTCCTTGAGAACTAGGAATTGGGTCCTGGATGAAGGGAATGCAAGAGAGCCCTAAGAGCACTGAGAAAACCCATGGAGCCCTGGGAAGCCTGCCTTGCCCACAGGTGCTCATGGCAAGGCTGACAGATGCTACCTAGCTCTTCACCTCTGGGCGTCGGAGCAGAGACCAGTGCTGCTGTGGGAGAAGCGCTGGACATGAGGTTAGGCGGGCTGGTTCCTGGCAGGGTGGAACCTCTGATGTTTCCAGGGACAGCGCTGCCTGGTCATTCAGGAGAAAAGGGTGCAGAGAAAGAAGGGCTTTGTCTAGGGCCCTGGCTTCCAGGCTCTGTGTTACTCCTGGCTTCAAGCTTTCCGGAAAACAGACTCTCTTCCCAACTCCCAGTGCCCTTCCTGCCCCTCAGAACTGAGGACTGCACTCTTACCAGCTCATGGTCACCATGCTCCTGCTCTGCCTCTTCCTGGCACAATATATATATTTATATATTTGTGATTAATGGGCACATTAGCTGCGATTAGGTATAGAGATAATTCCCATTCCATTATGATTTCCTTGAAATAAAACTCAAAGTAATCGAGAGAGATTAATTAGCATTAATAGTTAAGTTTCTGTTTCACCGATGTGTGCCACTTTGAATAACACCTAATGAAATGCCAACTCCTAGACAGCATTAGGTAGCTCCTCGGCTGGTCTTCAGCTGCCGTCCATCACTGCCTGCTCTAACATGACTGTCCCCAGTCCTGAGTAAAACCAAGCCGCTGAGTATGTAAATTTTGAGTCAAAACCTTCCTCAGTACTAGACAGAGCTTCATCTCCAAATGTTAGCAATAGACACACAGGTGAGGGCAGAGAAGTCACTCTTAGGCCCCTAGACCATCTGGATAATAAGAATCAAAGCTACCACATACTGAGCAGTTGTTCTGCACCAACCCCTGTGCTAAGTAAGCACTTCGTTATGTTAAACCACATAAAATTAGTGTTTTGCAGCTCAGAAATAGCCAGCTGGTTGTAATCTTACATGGTTCTACCTATAATCTCATTTGATTCTTACCATACCCTTACCTAAAATTAGTGTTTTGCAGCTCAGAAATAGCCAGCTGGCTGTAATCTTACATGGTTCTACCTAATATCTCATTTGATTCTTACCATACCCTTACCATCTATAATGATAAAAGAGTAATATGCTAATTAGACCAGACAGCCAAAGGACCTTCTGGACAACCTTCCAGAACGACCAGTGTGTGTGGGGGGGCAGGGGAGGGGGGCAACAAGCCTGCTCTGCAAGGCCAGCCATGGTGGTCCCAGTCCAGCACCGCAGCCCCTCCTTCTGCAGAGGTGGAGGGAGAGGCCATGACACCGCAGTCCTGGAGACTCCGCAGAGGCTGGACAGGGTGCTACTGCAGTGCCTCAACCTCCCACAGCCCCTCCCCAAGCCGGCCTGGCCCCAGATCGCCCCCCTCCCCGCCCCACCAGTGGGCAGGGGGCGGGGCCAGTGCTAAGAAGCAGTGAGCCCAGCTTCTGGTTGAGCCATACTCTCCCCCGCCCCCGCCCTTGCTCAGCCAGAAGCCAGGCTCACAGCTGGCAAGCACAGTGGAGGTGGCGTGAACCTCTCCTGCCTCCACGGCAGGCGGGTGGTAAGGAGCAAGGGGTCCTAGGTTGTGAGAGCCCTGGACTGTGAGAGGGATGTCTGAGTTCCAGCTTAGGCAGATCCCCAGG